TACTTTGGTGTTTTGTACTAGGTCCTGACGTGTGAGTTTTTGGTTGTGGATGCGGGCACAGTGTTCTTTGATGGCTCCAATATAGTTCTACAGCTATTAAATGCATTAATTGTAAATAGGTGATTTGTTAAATCAGCGCTATAAATAATAATGATTAAATTAATATAAATAAAAAAATACATTATGTCTTTACTGTCACGTTAATTCCAGTATGTCTCCAATATCATGTAGGGCATAAAGATCGTTAGTTACTGAAGGTCATCCTTGGCTTATAAGTAACTAACTTTAAAATGTTTAGGTTTCCGGGGCGGAAAGTCCAATTTCAGATAGCTGGGCTTGTCTTAGCTCACCTAGTTTACACTTAAACAACTTTTCAAGAGAAAAAGAGGATGATGGATAACCAAGAACTAAGACAAGTGTTTTAGTTCTGTATAACATCTTTTCGGAATAATTAGATAAAAGGGTGAATTTTGGGAGCCTTGTAGAAATATAGGGTGGTATATTTTTACTATGAGAAAATTTTTCTCTTTTTTTTGTATATCTCATAAAAGGGTGGAACTTGGAAGTTTTACATTGTATAAATTTAGGGTGGTTTATTTTTACGTTAAAGGCAGTAGGGGTTGAGACGTTGTTGGTTCAAGTACTCAGCTAATAACTAACCCTTAATTGATTTCTCTTAGTTGCCACCTAGTTTGACATTGGCATCTGGATCTTGTCTGATAGATGGAATATCTCCAAAGCATTTGGGTGCTATGACCACAGACATTATCTTTTATGAGTTTTAATGATGAAAACAAGGACTGGTAATATAAACATTTATTTGGGTTTCCGGTTTCTTTGTAATGATTTTGACTTACACATATATATAATTATCCAATGTGTTCATTTCGAGTATATTAGGATATTCTTATAACTCAAACAATAAGAATCTAATTTTATAATTTCATGGACAGAACATGGCCTAATGTTTGGGAGATCAAAGGCTCTTTGTTTGAGATATGGTTATGTTATAAAAAGTGGCTTAAATCCTGTAATTCAGCTTAATGAGCCAGAAAACATCTGTGGCAGTGGTTGGTGCTTTGCATCTGATTAGTAGTTCAAAATCACCAAAATATCTAAACCTTGCTGTTCAGCTCACATGTGAATAAGGTTCCATTCAGATTGATAATTCCAATTCTTTAGCATTTTACCGTATTTTTAGGATGTGGTAATGTTGGTTTAGAGAACTATGGCACACAGGTAAACCGCCCTAGCATAGGAAGAGGTTCAAAGATTTTTCCCAGATAGAATCTTAATGTAAGATCAAATGCAGAAAAGAAGTAACAAGTTTGATGCAGACAACTAAGTACGGTTTATTTCTCGTCTTTGGGTTGAAAAGATGAAATTTAGGCAACAAAAATTAAAATTAACATATAGATACACATTGTTGGCATGCGCAATAAAAAACCTATATGAAAACAACACTTTACAGCAGGTCTGGTCCCTTTCTCAGGAGAAGCTACCAACCTTGAAAACACCAAACTGCTCTCATGATCCATATTCTCTCTATATTATTTGTAGATAAACTTATTTCTGTGTTAAAATCAGATAGTTTGTGTGTTTGTTTATAGTTAGACATAAAGCAACACAATGGGTTATCTGTGCTCTGCCCACTATGGGTATCGAAATCCAGTTTCTAGCATTATAAGCCCGTGAAGCATTATATTCTATGTGAAAGATAAATTAACTGTTATACTCTTTTTGATCTTCCTTAATTTTGTCATTACAGTCTTTTTTTACATTGTTGATGTTCTTCTGTACTTCTTGTTGTTGTACTAATCCTTCTGTATATTTCTAACAGCTCCATTGATCTTATATTCAACTAAATTTAATCGTGTTACTAATTCTTCATCTTAACTCCTCTCTTAAATTCACATCTCTCACCTTTTAATTTTCTGTAAATTTCTTCTCCATCTTCTTCCAAATACTTCACTGAAACTAAATACCTCACTGTATGACTGGCCTTATACCAAATGAAAAGTGTTTACTTACTTATACGAGGCCTGTGAGAAAAGTATCCGACCTTTGGCCGGGGAATAAAAACTGGCATACCTGGAGCGTTGGAAACCTAAATT